TTAGACCTCGCCACCCCTGGGCGGCTGCGATCTGTGAAACTGTCGCCACTTTCGAGGGCTGCTGGTGGGTGGCCAGCGGAGTGAGGCACCACGGGGACTCAGATTCTGACCACGAGCAATGCTCGCGTGCCCTTGCTCTGCGGTTCGTGCCACGTGGCGCTGCGACTCGAGTTGGCGGTCGTCCTTCGGACCCGCAGAAACATCTGCTGAGCTCGATGAGCTAGGGGAACTACAGGAAAGAAGTGCAGGAAACGGAGGCCGGTCATGCACTCGCCGATACCTCGTTGCTCTGTCATCGTCTTTGCTGTTGCATGATCCTTATCTGGCCTGCCGGCGCCGCGGCTCGAGCTGGCGGTCGCCCTTCGGGCCCGCGGGAACATCTTCTGAGACAAGTGGACGCCGCCGCCTTACTTGCAGGCAGCGCATTGCATTCGCGGACAGCAGCATGGCAGACCGCAGTGAGATCCTCAGTCGCGTGGTGTTGCCAAGCCTGGTGGAGACGCGCGTGATCGACCTGAAGTCCCAATCGCGCGTGCATTGTACCTGCGTGGCGTTCAGGCACGCGCGTGATGCTGCTCGCTCCGCGTTCAACCGGTACGTCGCCAGTGCAACTTTGGACGATGGGCAACCGATTGATGATACGCGACCCCGGCCTTGAGTTTCTTTCCCGCGGGCCGCCCGCAGACCTGGCGGCGCGCCTGCGAGCGTTCAGCTCCCGCGCTGAAATGTGCGGGAAGGATGCGGAGAAGCTAGCGGGCGAGCTACGCCTCGTTCGTTCCTTGCACTCTAAACGAGTTCTATCATGTGGAACTCTGCGACGACATGGCGCAGGCAACGCTGCGGGTTTAGTTCGCGCTTGAAAAACGCGGCAGTCTTCTGTCTCCTCCCGCCATTTTCATCGTCGTCCTATTCCCCGCCTCACCTTCTCCATGCATGCTGCTGCTTCCGCGATGGCCTTTCGCCCCCCCCGCCCTCCATTCCATCCCTCTCCTACCCCTCGTTCCCGTGCCCGTTCTTCTTCGATCCTGGGGCCTCAAGCCTCGTTCTTTCGATCGTCGTCCTGTGAATCGTGCAACGCATGCGCATCCCATGTAGCTTGCACGGCAAATCGCCGCGTCTACACTGTCGCTGTTCCTGCTCAGGTTGGCATATTCCTCTTGCCATTTGATGCACGTGGGTTGGGTACGTCGCAGGGTAATTATTGATAGTAGTATTTTTATAGTGCTCTGCTGCCGCTCCCTCGATCCTTGGCGGCCCCCAAACGGGGTGGTGACCACACAGTGTGGTGAGTCCGTGGGGATTCGGGGCCACCGCACGGTTTTGGGACTCGGGTCCTTCTCCGAGGATGCCTCGGGCGGCTGGGGCGCCCGAGGTCCCAGAACTGGACCGTGCGGTGAGGTCTTGGGGGATGTCGAGGTCACCGCACGGCCTGTCACCGCACCGTTTTGGGACTCCAAAGGCCCGCGCTCCCTCTGCTCGGGCTCTCTCGCTCCCCCCGCTTTTTGTCTATCCCGCCTCGGGCCCTGCCGCTCCAGCGAGGGTTCGCCGCGCCGCGCCGCGCCCCCCCGCGGGGAGAGCTGCTGCCTCGCCGCTCCCCTGGGGAGGAGTGCGGGTGGGGTGTGGCAGGAGGACCGGAGGGTTCCAAAGGGGGTTTTTAGGGAGGGGGTTTTCCAGGAGGGGTCCCCCAGGGGCGTCGCACCCTTCTGTTTTGACGAGGTTCTGAGGCCCTTCGGGGCTCTCTGGAAAACCCCCTCCCCCCAAACCCATTTTGGGACCCTCTGGGAGGAGGCAGACGTCGGAGCCTTGGAGCCCAGAGGTGGCGGGGGGGTGGGGGCGGAGGAGCAGAGGAAGGGAGGAGGGGGGAGGACGTAGCGGGAGGGGGGAGGGGTAGATGGCGGGCACGAGCGCGAATGAGGGGGAGGAGGAGGAGGAGGAGGAGGAGGAGGAGGAGGAGGAGGAGGAGGAGGAGGAGGAGGAGGAGAAATGCGAGGCGGCTGAGAATGAGGAGGACTGCGGTCGACGTGAGAAGGCGAGAGAGGTGAAGTGAAGCCCACCCTCCCCCGCAGAAATCGTGGGGGGTCGGGAGGAGAAATGCGAGGCGGCTGAGAATGAGGAGGACTGCGGTCGACGTGAGAAGGCGAGAGAGGTGAAGTGAAGCCCACCCTCCCCCGCAGAAATCGTGGGGGGTCGGGGTAGGGTTCGCATGTGGCCCCCTATCGGGTATGGCCAGGACCCCGGGTAAGTGGACCCGCTTAGTGGTAGGGCCCCGGAGCCTTCGAATTGGCCAGAATCACTGAACCAGGTTTGCCATAGCTGGTGTTTTTTCGGGTGACGGCAGTTCCGGTTAGTGGAAATGGGACGGGGGGGGCGCCCCCGGTACAGATCACTAAACCAGGTTCCACTAAACCCAGTTCTACCAACGCCCGACCCTACCGTGGTCGAGGGGAGGCAGTCCGCGAAGGGCAGGTCGGGGGGGCCTCCCCCCCCCCCGCCCTGGCAGGGAGTCCGGCGTGGTCAACACGTGGAACGCGGCGTGCTCAGCCCCCAGCGCGGCGGCGCGCTGAAGCATCCCCACGGACTCGAACCTGGAGGAGGAGGAGGAGGAGGAGGAGGAGGAGGAGGGGAGAGGGAGGAGGAGGAGGAGGAGGAAAGGAGGAGGAGGAGAAGAGGATGAGGAGGAGGAGAGAGAGGAGGAGGAAGGAAGGAGGAGGAGGGAGGAGAGGAGGGAGGAGGAGGAGGAGGTAGGAAGGAGGAGGAGGAGAGGGGGATGAGGAGGAAGGAGGAGGAGGGAGGAGGAGGGGAGGGAGGGGGAGGAGGAGGAGGAGGAAGGAGGAGGAGGGGGGGAAGGAGAGAGGCCTGCCGATGCCCGGCCCGGGCCGGTGGGGGGGGGGGCGGTTCGGGAGAGCAGCAGCGGCAGGGGTGGCCAGCGTGGGCCCCGAAGGCAGAGAGCTGATGCTGTGTGGATCGGGGGGCGGCACAGGGAGGCTCCTCCTCCTCCTCCTCCTCCTCCTCCTCCTTCTCCTCCCTCCTCCTCCTCCCCCTCCTCCCTCCCCCTCCTCCTCCCCTCCTCCTCCTCCTCCTCCCCCTCCTCCCTCCTCCTCCTCCTCCTCCCCCTCCTCCTCCTCCTCCTCCTCCTCCTCCTCCGGGCAGCGGTACAGTCGGCCGGACTAGTAGGGCGCTCTCGGAGCTCTCGGAGGATCGACAACTTGGCATCGCTCGGGCGTGTGCATTTTTTTTTCGGCGAGAAACCACGAGGACCACCCCGGGCCATCGAGGAAAATAAACACGCACGAAACCGGAACATGCACGGGAAACGGACGCCCGAGCGACGGCAAGACAAGCGCGTTCCGCTACTCCGGGGGCGGCAAAGAGGGGGGTGCTGACTAGGGGGGGGTGGATATCATGGCGTGGGCCATGATATTTCCCCAGATTTCACGGCGCCTCTTCTCCTTTCATTACGTCCCTGGCCCCCCGGCTGGGCCGCGCACGTGCCGCCGGTCATGATTTGCACCCCCCCCCCTCTTGGACAACCCCCCCTCTTGGCCGCTCCCGAGTGCATGGTGATCGTTTTTTCGTGAATTGTTTTGCTGATCGGCGCGGGCCCCCGCACACCCCTTTCCATGGAGTAGATCTTGGCTGTTTTTGGCGCTGGTTTCGAGCAGGTGGAGTCTCCCCAAGTGGACGCGCGGTTCCAAGCAGTCGCACTAAGCAGAGGTCCGGAGCCAGACACACACACACACCCTCCCCCCTCCCTTCCGCCCAATGTCAAAACGCGGAACACAAAGCAACGTTCACATTTGCAAGTTGTGTGGTGCAACCATGTGGTGCAAGCTGCAGTGGAGACCCATGCCAATAAACACCCTGCTTGCCTCCAGGGCGTTCGGAGTATCTTGGGCTTCGATGGTTGTGCTTTGAAAAGAGTTACGTTCCCACCCAAAAAATCTTAACGCCCTGAGAACTCAGGGTTGGGTTTCTTGTATCAGGCTTTTTGTGGTCGAGCCCCTACGGTATGTGGTGCAAGCCATCCGGTGCGCACTGTGTGGTGCAAGCTGCGTGGTGCAGTTTGTGCGGTGCAGCGCGGTGCAAGCTGCGCGGTGTAAATTGCGTGGAACGGCGACGGACGGGAACGGGGCCGGGCCGCTGGGCCTGCAGACGGGCCCAGCTCTTTTTATTCCTCAGCCTCCTCCTCCTCCTCCTCCTCCTCCTCCTCCTCTTGCTCCTCCTCCTCCTCCTCCTCCTTCGCCTTCTTGAGCACTGACGACCGGGGCGTCTCCGAGCGGGACACCCCTCCCCCCGTAGAGTCCTACCCCGGCAGCCTTGGGCCTGGTTGGGCGGGGGAGCTTTCGAGGGTTCTCCCTGGTGTACAACTAATCGTATATAACCAAGTCGGGATATACAATCTCTTCCCTTTAAGTTCACAAGGGGGAAGTCACTCCTGGCCACTCACATGCAATTGTGGATCTCCCCCCAGATGAGCTCGCACAGAAAAGCCACTCCCATACTACTTCGCACCAAAGCGCTCAGACATGCCAGTTTTTACCCAGATGAAAAAAGCATCGACACGGGGTTGTACAGTCGGGGCCCTGAAGGAGGAACCCTTTTCGTTGGGGAGGGGCTCCGCGTTCCTTAAGTGTTTCGCAGCTTGCCTCAGGTTTTCCTTATGTTTTCGATCGGAAATCGAAGTTGAACTCATGGAAAAAAGGGGCCTCGTTCCCTATTTGGGGTTCCTCAGGTCAAGCCCCCGACTGTAGAATTGAAGCATCACCTTCCGGAGTTCCGCGCGGATGTCGATCGGCGTGGGGCTCCCCGGCGGCGCCTCGAGCGCAAAAGCTTGGCGCGCTCCGCGCGGGCGGGCCGGCGCCGACCCGAGAAACTCTGCGCGGAGCTCCGAGAGATGTTTCGCAGCCCCCCGCAATAGGCGATGAGAGTGGGGAGGCGGCGGGGGCGCCGGCAGTCTGCGAGGCTCTTCGGAGGTGGATAGACCTCCTACCATGGCCGTGTTTCGGCTCGCGCCGCTTTCGCTTCCAGGCAAAACCACGCCATACCACGCGCCTCCTCGTCATGCGGCCTGACCAGTGCGGGCTGCAATTTGGCATCGTTTGGTATCTCTTGGAGGCGAGGGCGGTCAAGAGCGAGGCAGGTTTGTTTTTCCCCTAGAGAGACTTTTCGCAGCCCCCCGCAGTAGGCGATGAGAGTGGGGAGGCGGCGGGGGCGCCGGCAGCCTGCGAGGCTCTGGAGAAGCCCGTCGCAGGCGTTTAATGTTTTGGACCAGTTGTATAAACGAGCTCGCCGCAGGCGCCGATTTGCGCCGATTTTCTCGTCAAAGCAATGTGGGTGGGTCGCGAGTGGGTCGCGGGTGGGTCGCGTGCCGGGGCGCCGGCAGTCTGCGAGGCTCTTCGGAGGTGGACAGACCTCTTACCATGGCACGTCGATTAAGGAATTGGCCGTGTTTCGGCTCGCGACAGGGCGTCGCGGCCGTCGTTTTTGCGGGTACAGGTCCGTCGGTTTCGGTCCCAGGCCGCTTTCACTAAGGGGAGGTCTACTGAAGGGAGGTTTGTCCACCGCCGAACTCTGGAGAAGCCCGTCGCAGGCGTTGAATAATTTTGACCAGTTGTACAACGAGCTCGCCGCAGGCGCCGATTTCTCGTTGAAGCAATGTGGGTGCGTCGCGGGTGGGTCGCGAGTGGATCGCGGGTGGGTCGCGTGCCGGGTCGCGGATGGGTTGCGGGTCGGTCGCGGGTGGGGCGCAGGTGGTTCGTGGGTTGGTCGCGGGCGGGTCGCGGGGTGGGTCGCGAGTGGATTGCGGGTGGGTCGTGGGGTGGGTTGCGGGTGGGTCGCGGGTTGGGTTGCGGGCGGGTCGTGGGCCGGGTTGCGGGCGGGTCTTGGGCGGTCGCGGGGAGGACGACGACAGCAAACAACAACAAAAACAACAATATCAACAACAATCATTTTTATGATTGTTCGCTCTGATCTGCCCGAGTGCCATTCAACGTGCATGTTTCGTTTTTGTTCGTTTTCGGTCGTGCCCCGTTTGGGTGTTTGTCTTTCTGCTCTGCAGGCCGGACCCCGGCAAGCGGCGGGGGGGCTGCGGATGGTCGGTTTGGCCAGCGGCAGCGCTGATCGGCGACAACCCAACCCCAAGAGGGACGGACAGGGGACGGACGACGACGACGACGACGACGACGACGGCGACGACGACGGCGGCGGCGGCGGCGGCGACGACGACGACGACGACGACGGGCGAAAGCGAGAGCGAGACCGAGAGCGAGAGCGAAAGCGAGAGCGACAGCGGGGCCACGCAGGGCAGGGAGGGGGCCACGAAAAGCGACAGCGGGGCCACGAAGGGCACGCGCACGTGGCCAGGAAAGGCGCGAACGAGCGGGGGCCACACGAAGGGCATGATGTATATGGGGCCACGAAGGGCAGCAACGAGGCAACGAAGGGCTGCAACGGGGCCACCAAGGACTGCAACGGGGCCACCTTAGGCAGCGAATGGGCCACGAAGGGCTGCAACGGAGCCACCGAGGGCAGCGAGGGGGCCACGAAGGGCTGCAACGGGGCCACGAAGGGCAGCGAGGGGACCACGAAGGGCGACAGCGGGGCCACCAAGGGCAGCGAGGGGGCCACGAAAGGCAGCGCGGGGACCACGAAGGGCTGCAACGGGGCCACGAAGTGCAGCGATGGGACCGCGAAGGGCAGCAACGGGGCCACGAAGGGCAGCAATATCCCGATTCCTGAGTAAGCTGTGAGGGGACCCCGGGCGTCAGCCCGACTCCTGGGTGCTCTGCGTGTCGGGAGGGCGGCGCTTGAGTAAATCAGGGGGAGCTCCAACGCAATATTGAAATTCTTGAATAAATTGCAAGCGATTTTCCAGCGAGATGGCGAATCCAGAGCGCCGAGAACACGATTCTTGAATAAAGTGTAAGGAAGTCCCAAGGGAGAGCGCGACTCCTGAGTAAAATGCAAGGAAATCTCAAGCGGGAGCGGGGGGCCTGGCTCAATTGTGAGGAAATCTCAGGCGGGAGCCGTTGTTCTTGTAACCCTGGGGCCAGGGGCGCAGTTAGACCCTTGTGATCTTCCCGAATAAGGAAAACAGGGTGCGAGCCCCGCGGGAATCATTTCGATTGAAACAACAGAATGGTCACCGGGGGGGATGTCAACAATATTTTTTGGGAGCTTTGAGACGGGGGTCAATGCAAACGGGGGCCAGATAGAGCGCCGGATCTTGCAGGATCCTGCAGGGCCAGGGTTGCATTGACCCGGGCTTGGGTGCAGGATCCTGCATGATCTTGCAAGATCTTTCGCATTGACCCGGGCTTGGGCGCAGGATCTTGCAGGATTCAGTTAGCCTTGACTGACCCGGGTCTGGATTGACCACACCAGCAATAACAACACCAACAACAACAATCATTTTAAGATTATTTGATCTTATTTGCTCGCGTGCCATTCGACACGTATATCCAGACCTTTCGATACCCACCCTCTTCGTCCTCGACCGTACCCCCTTGGGGGTATCTTGCTTACGTGCGACGTGTACTTCGCGCAGCACCTGAGACAGGGGCAGGGAGGACGGATGGAAGAAAAAAAACGGGGAGGGAGGAGGATGGAGCACGGGCTAGGAGCAGAAAACACGTGGCAGAACATGACGGGCAAGTCGGGCGGGTAGACCCTACCAGGCGGGACGGGAAGGAAGGCCCAGGCGGCCAGGTCGAGCAGGCGGGTTGCACAAACGTGCGCGAAGAAGATTCGAGCAACAGCTCGATTCCCAAATCAATCATGCGGCAATCCACAGCGAGAGCGTGACTCCTGAATGTCGAGGGCGCGGCGTCTGAATAAATTGTGACGAGGTCCCGCGCGAGAGCGCGATTTAGGAATCACCTGTGGGAAAGCATCCGCCAGGAGTCGTTGTTCTTGTAGTTCGGGAGCCAGCAGCGCAGTTTGACCCTAGTGACTTTCCCTGGTGCGAGCCCCAGGGGGAGCACTCAAGTTGAAAAAACAAAATGGCTCCCGGAGGGAGGGGCAACAATTTTCTTCAGTAGTGAGAGCCCAACAATCCGCACCGCAGAATCTCACCTCACCCACTCGCTCAGGGACAGTGAATGACGGTTCGGCCCCCTACTTTGATGTGTATGCCATCTTTTGTCTTTCGATCGGTGGAGGAATTCGGCTACGCGCAAGAGTGATCCTCCTCACGGCCGAGTTCTCGCCATCATTCCTTGGTCTCCGCCCGAAAAGTGAGGCCGCTCAACAAGTGAGGGGGTTCGGGGACGCACCCTGAGCGGGCTACCCAGACGCGCCCCAGACAAAGGATGGACACCCCCCCCGTCGTGTATATCTGTGGCCCCTTCCGAAAACACCTCAAGGTCGGGGACGGGGGTCGCCATCCCAACGGTGCCTTCGCCTGAGTGACGGTTGGTGTGCGCTTTTTTTTTCAGGGGGAGCGCAGGGGGATGAGTGGACGACAGCCCAAGCGCGCACGGCGACACCGTCGCGCCGCACGCCAAGGTCGGCAAGCCGCCCACGGACTAGCCGAGGGCACGCGAGGGGGGATGGGCGGGAAGGGGATGCGGGAGGATTTCCCAGACTTGAATTGGTGCATGTCTACCGCCGGGAGGTCCCATGTCCCAGAGCCGTGGGAGGCGGCGGGCGTGGATATCTGGTGCGGCGTCGGCTCCCCCAGGGCCCAAGCGCATCCACACGCAGCGCCCCCCTGGGCGCCTGGGAGATCGTTTCCCCGTGCGGTGGGTAAGCAGGGAATTCTGGCCTCGCAGGATTGGATGGCAAGCGTCGGGGGCGTCCCACAGCGGGGTGATGACAGCAGGGAGGTGGTGATGTCGTGGCCAGGGCCGCGGTGTCTCCCCGGATTTCATGGCCACCTCTTCATGCTTCCGTGCGTCCCTTGGCCCCCCCGCGTCCGCGCACTCGGGCCACGATCTGCGAGCCCCTCTGCTCGACTCCCCCGAAGCGGGGACAGGGGATGTAATCTAGTGAAAACTGACATCGATAATTCATACTTCGTCGATGCCATCAGGGGCGACGATAGGGGGGGATAGGCATAGGGGTGGCATTGATCGCCGATAGGGGCCCGATAGCCCCAACCCGCCCAGAAAGGTGTGGATTCACTATCGGGGGCCTATCGATGATCAATCGACGATGTATCGCCGATTCCAGGTCGATGCATCCCCCCCTATGCCTGTCCCCCCCAATCGTTGCCCCTCATGTCAATGTTCACCAGATTCTCTCCCCTGCCATGTCCGCAGGGGAACTCTGGAAGCCGCCAGCGGGCGCCCCAGTGCTGGTGGTGCCAACTGTCATCCTGAGGCGTGGGGCGTTCGAGGGGGAGTGTCCGGGGGCAACGGTAGGCGGGCACAGGATCAAGGGGGATGCATCGACCCTCAATCGCTCCCTGGCCGCCGATACGGTTCCGATCGCCCACCCCGCCCGAGATCGTGCAGACGCGCTGTTGGGGACGTGCTGCCCGTCTGTCGGTGCTCGGCGTGACCCCCCCCGAGCCCGTCCCCCTCGATCGGTGCCCCTCAGGCGGAGGGGAGGTCGGTGGGGGGGGGAGAAGGGGGAGAAGGCGCGCCAGGTGCGCTCGCGCCATGTTCGGCATCCTACTCACCTCGCTCCCCCCCATCCCTTTCCGTTGCGCTGAAGCCATCTCTCTTAGCAGATTCGTTTGTCGGAGAGACTTCCCACGTCGTATCAGTTCTAAGGGTGAAGGTAATGAAACAGAGCATCAGTGCATTGTGGCGCAATGCATGCAGCGGTGCACGGCACTCACGCGATCTTTCCACACACCCAGTTGCACATTGATCACGGGCAAGTCCAAAGTGAGTTGATCGCCTTTCGGTCAGATAGGATACGTAGGCAAACGCGACGTTGTACAATCTGTGATTGGGCCTGGGGCTGTCTGGGTGGGCGTCCCACACCCAGCCAAGCCTAGCTGACATCGAAACTGGCCTGACAAGTAAGGGTGGCCTGGCCAGCCCACAGGCCA